TAAAAGTTGTCGTTAGTATTGTTCTTACAAATAATAAAAAAAAAAATATACATTAAAATAAAGTTTGTACATACCGTTAAAATATGTTTCTGCCATTCTTTTCGCTAGGAACTGTATATAGCATTTTTTTTTATTTGATTCAATTTTTAAAATATTGATATCTTTAATTTTATTTTTTTATTAAATAAAAAAAGTAATTAAAAATCAAAAACAAGTTTATTTTAAATTAAATATACTAAATTTTTATTTAATTTTTTAGTAAATTTATTAATAAATATAAAAATGAAAAAAAAATATAATAATAAAAAAATAAATAAAATATTTTTATTGAATACAAAATTAAATTAATTATATAAATCTATTACTATATGATTTATTATTATCTAATGATTTATTCTTATAATTAATATAGTTTACTTATTTTATATATTTATTATTTAACTATAATTATTAATTATTATTAATATTAATTTATTTATAATTTATTTATATAATTAAATGATTTCTTTTTCAATTTCTTTTTTATATTATTTAAAAATAAATTTTTTAATAATAATTTATTATAATGATTAGTAACTTTTTATATTTTTAAATTAAAATTTATAAAGACTGAAATTTTATTATTTTTGTTTATTTTTTATATTATTAAAAAATAACTTTATAAGTATTTTAAATTATATATATATTTTTATATTTTAATTATTAATATAGTTTAATTAAACTTTATTAATTATTAAAACTTTATAATTTCTTATTTATTCTAAATTCTAAATGCTCTTAATTAAGAGAATTTTTTTTAAAAAAAAAAATTAACGCCCGGAGTGGGGCTCGAACCCACGGCCTTAAGGTTTCATACCGAAATCGTCGGATAAAAGCCTCACGCTCTACCGACTGAGCTATCCGGGCATTTACGATTTTTACTGGATTTTCATTTTATATGACTAAACTTTTTCATTTGTCAAAATTTAAAAAAATTTTTTATCACGGGTTGTGTAACTAATCACATTAGGAAAAAAAAATAATTAAATGAACGGATGAATCAAATCAAATATAAATGAACGGATGAATCAAATCAATGAATGGATGAATCAAGTCAAATATTAAATGAAATGATGAATCAATTTAAACTAACTGTCGGAAGTACTTTGCTAATAGAAAACTGGATCACGTGAAAATCACAAATTCTATAATTATTCATGACAATGATTGAATAATTGAATGGAATTTGATCAACTAAAATTATTTTTTAAAAGGCAATGAATTTCTAAATTTATTTTCCTAAGCAACAAAAGATAAAACGATATTCAGAAAAACGGGGCTAAAGCAAGCCGCATCTCATACTTCATTTAGATAAACATTATGAAGCCACCAATTGTTATATTAGGCAAATTAGTTTGCCAAATAAGTTTATATATTTTATCCGTTCAGAAGATAAATCTCGTGTTACATTAATTTATATTTAAAAAAGTCAAATTTTTTTTTCTTAGGCTTTCAAAGTTCATTTTCCTTTTTTTTTTTAAAAAAAAAAAAATTAAAATTAAAAAATTCTAAACCTGAAATAAAGATTTCTCTCTTAATAAAATAATTTATCTAATGGAAGCTATCGTAAAACAATGTAAAAAGGCATGTCCTTTTTTACATAATTCTACTACCGCCACTCTTAGTAAACTTTCTCGTATGCCAGCCCCAGCTGGTTTTGCCTCCGAAGTAAGCGGTAATGTTCGAACAAATGCTTTGACCACCATGGCACAAAAATGCCCAGTTATGGGTAAAGCAATTGCGATTCAAAGCAAAAGTTATTTGCGTACTTCTGCCAGATTAGCGAAACATCCTACCCTTCCCTTGAAACAAGCTGCTTTAATTAATAATGAAAATGAAGCTCGTGTTGCTGCTGCCGTCATGGCTGCTTTACAAGGTCAAACTCCAACCACCCATTCGACTCATTCTAAACCATTCGATTATGAAACTCTTTATAAATCTGAATTAGAAAAAAAACATCAGGATAAGAGTTATAGATATTTTAATAATATTAATCGTCTCGCTAAACAATTTCCGAAAGCTCATACTGCAAACCTCCAAGAAGAAGTTACTGTTTGGTGCAGTAATGATTATCTTGGAATGGGAAGAAATCCTTTAGTTCTAGAATCTATGCAGTAAGTTTTATTAAATTTAAATTTATCAACCTAAAATTAAATTCATTGATCTAAAAAAAAAAAACTTTTATTATAGAAAAACCATGAACAAGTATGGGGCAGGTGCTGGTGGTACCCGTAACATCGCTGGGAATTGTAATTTACACTTACAACTTGAAACTGAATTGGCGGACCTTCACCATAAACCTGCAGCGCTTGTTTTCTCTTCATGTTATGTTGCTAATGATGCAACATTAAGCACGTTAGCATCAAAACTACCAGGATGTGTAATCTTTTCAGACGCATCAAATCATGCTTCGATGATTCAAGGAATTAAACATTCAGGAGCGAAAAAAATGATCTTTAAACATAATGATTTACAAGATCTTGAAACAAAATTGCAATCGGTTGATATACATATACCAAAAATAATCGCTTTTGAAAGTGTTTATTCGATGTCAGGATCGGTTGGACAGATTGAAGAAATTTGTAACCTTGCCAAGAAATACGGTGCAATTACATTTTTAGATGAAGTTCATGCCGTTGGTATGTACGGACCTCGTGGAGCTGGTGTAGCTGAACATTTAGATTTCGATCTAAATGCTTGCTATCCTCATGGAAATAATGGCGGCATCCTTGATAAAGTTGATATTATTTCCGGTACTCTCGGTAAAGCTTTCGGAGTTGTAGGAGGTTACATAGCTGGTTCTGCTGCTTTGATTGATATGATTAGATCTTATGCTCCTGGATTCATTTTTACCACCTCCCTTCCACCTGTTGTCGTTGCC